TCATTTGTCACCCAGCCAGATTAAATCAGTTTCACAGGACATTCACTTTTAAAAGACTAATATATATATATATGATTTGTAGATGAATTTGCAAATATTTGATTAATACACATTATATATGAATATCAATGTATAAATTTACAAGAAGAAATAAAACCTCGTATTCACTAGAATGCCTGTGTTAGTGGGTCAGCACATTCTTTTTCAAATAGTAAAATTTTGCATTCAAAGCAAAATACTCTCTCAGGAGGCTGTTGGTGAGTGGAATGTAAAATTAAAGCAGAGTGAACCGCATGATTATCTCCAAGTGGTCTCCTGCTGCAATAATTTGACACACTTTTCTTTACTATATCAGTATATTTGTCAGGCAGCTGAAACGTCCGGTCTGCTGGTATTTCCTCTCCCCTGGAGTTGAAAGATATACTATCCATTTGTTCAACATCCGCTTCTTGATTATTTGTCAACAGTTTAATCAAGGTACAGTTTAAATATCATAAAAGTCGACAGTTGCAAGTGTACCATTTAAATATTTTTAGTAAATTTATAGCGTTGTGCAAACATTGTCAAAATTCAGAATGTTTCCATCACCCCCAAAATTTCCTTGGGGCTAATGTGCAATCAATTCCTATTCCTACGCTACTCTCCAAGAAACCAGACAACAATTGGCTTTTGCTTCTATAAATCTATCTTTTCTAGGCATTTCATATAAATGGGAGGTAGCCTTTTGAAACTGGCTTCTTTCGCTTAGCATAATGTTGTTGAGGTCCATCTATTCTGTAACACGTAAAAATAGTTTGTCTTTTGTATTGTCAAATAATATTCCATAGTATGAATGTACCATATTTGTTTATCTTTTCACTAGATAATGGACATGTGGAATGTTTCTAATTTTGAATACTATGGATAATACTTGTATGAAAAATTACATACAGATATTTGTGTGTATTCATTCCCTTTTCATCTACTGGCAAAGATTGTAAATTCCTCTTTGAGATTTTGATAAGATTATCATACTATCTTCTTTCTGATATCAGTATTAAGTCTCATAAAATCAAATTAAATTATAGAGTGATTTTTGTAGATATCCAGTCTCACCACTTACATGTTTATTCTTACTACTTACTGTCTCAAAGAATGCCCTTTTCCTGATCCTTTGTGTCAGCCTACTACAGCACTTTATAGACACCGTGCAGATATGAGGAAATATCTGATAACTGTCAGAGATAAGTCATTTCAAAATAGCTTGATGGATCTCCAGATGTGTGACTGTACTGGGCTGACCTAAAGGAATATGATTGAGGTGTCAAAAGTTGAAAAGAGTCTCTAGTCCAATGGGTGCAGAGGCAGCTATGAATTATTCATCCCTTCATAGGTTTACTGGAGCAAAGTTTCCCCAAGGATAAGTTTTTATAAACTTTGATCCAAAGACAGTAGTTGATAGCTCTTTCACTGATTCAAACAGGGACAGGATTTTTAAAGTTTAGAGCAGATCGCAGGAAGTACCTACAAAGCAAAGAGCACTTTGTGACATGTATTAGATCCATGGAGAGATATTATGTGCAATTTTTTACCTCAGAAAGATTGCAGACTAATTCAGCAGATAAGTCATTTATTAAAATGGCTTGTTATTTTACTTTTTAAAATAATTTGTTTATTACAGTGAGGGCTCCTGTCAGTAGAGAGCCCTCTTTTTCCTAGAAAACAAGAACACTAACTGGTCACCTTGATGTATAAAGAATTTTAAAAATATTTTAGAATCATATTTATCAGAATTCTTTTCTTAAGGTGCCATTCCATTCATTTCAGGGGTACTATTTCAATTCATTCCAAAGTGCCAGCTAGGAGGAGTACTAGTGTTGAAGTTAGCCAAGTTGAGTGTTACAGAGCATAAATTGAATAATAAATTTGATGCTCCTTATCTCCAGGCAAGTATTTTAGGTTTCATCTTTTGCTAAATTTTCAGTTTCTTTCCTTCATTGGCCTTGGTGTGTTCATCTAAATCTGAGTTTTCACAGTTCCTTTGATTTTTTCTTTTGTGAGAAAGATTGGCCCTGTGCTAACATCTGTTGCCAATCTTTCTCTGAGCTAACGTGTTTTTCATGAGTTTCTGTGTGTGTGTGTGTGAGGAAGATTGGGCCTGAGCTAACATCTATTGCCAGTCTTCCTCTATTTTATGTGTGATGCCACCGCAGTGTGGCTTAATGAGTGGTTCTAGGTCTGGGCCCAGGATCCAGGCCTGCGAAACCTGGGCCGCCAAAGCAGAGCATGCAAAGTTAAGCACTATGCCACTGGGCTGGCCCCTCAATTCCCTTGATTTTTATTCAAAGCCTTTATCCCAATCGTGTATTAGGTATTTGTTCCACTTCCATCTTATCCAATATGTTTTATACTCCATAAAGACAGGGATACTATATATCTTGTTCACTACTATCTCCTCTTTGGCTATATATATTATATAAATTTACAAATAGTAAACTGCCGATAAATATTTGATGTTACCCTAATGGCTGCCCATCTGACTAATTGTTTTCTAGGCTAGTCATTGATTCAAATGTTGAATAATAACTTATGAATTATATAACTATCCAAAATGATATTATAAGAACTGTTATAATTTTTATGTCTTAATGACAAAGCAAATAATTTAAATAATAAGAAGTATCTGCTGATAGAAGAAAGAGATCTTTGTGGAATGAGATGTTTGGGGAAGGTGTGATGGAAAGGGTCGACGATGAACAAAAATCCAAAAGCTATGTGGTTCTCATATAGGCAGAAAGGACTATAGTGGACAGTCTAAATTGCAGAAACCATGTGAAGAAACATGAGGTACAGGATACATCTTTAGCATATAAAATAATCCTAAATGAACAGTTCCAGTAAGGGAAAAGTTTAAATATTGTGGACATATACTTGTGGTGGGGTAGTTGGAAATACATCAACAATTTTTTTGACACTCCCTCCAAATGGTGGAGACTAATTTTCCTTCCACAGAGTGTGGGGTGGACGTAGTGACTTACTTCTAACAAAAAGAAAGTAAAAGCTGGAGTGACGGTATGTGACTTTGGACTAGATTACAAAAGGCCTGTGGCTTCCTGCTTAGATTTTCTTGTGGATCACTCAGCTGCCATTTTGTGGGAACATTTAGGTGACTATATGGAGAGGCCCATGCAGGGAGTGAGGAACTGAGGCCTTCTGCCAAGAGCCACGTAATGAGCCATCTTGGAAGCAGATCCCCCAGTCCCAGTTGTGCCTTCAGATGGCTGTAGACTCCCCAGCAGGGGAGATCCCAAGACGAGATAGCCCAGCTAGCTACTCCAGGATTCTTGCCCCTCAGATACTGCAGGAGACAATAAATGATTTTGTTTTAAAATGTTAAGTTTTAGACTAATTTGTTGTACTACAACAAATAATTAATACAATACCATGGATAGTGCCAGGAATCCAAGATCATTCCAATAAAGGAAACGTAGTGATATTGGCAACTGTTGTAGTAAATCAGGCAATTGCGTATAAATGCTTGATTTATATCACAGATGGGTAGATGTTGTTCCTCCCAAATACTTTTTCCCTTTTACTCTTTGTATAGGTAATTTAGTAAAACTCTATTCTGATCCCATCTGACACCAGGTAGATATATGTTTTTAAGTTAATCAGTCAATCAGTGACTGAGTGACTATTGCTATAGAGTGGGAAAGAGCTGAAGTTATTATTTTCCCATCATTGCTTATTTCTATGAATATTACTCAGAGTGCTTCACTAGTTATGTCCAACGTCATCACTATTTTTCTATTCTGCAGTTACTTAATCTTCTTGTGCCTCAGTTTTCTCATCTATAATTGAGGAGAGTAATTGTGCTTACCTAGTAGAGATGCTATTCAGATGACAGTTATCATGTGCAAAAAGTTAGAACAATAAATGATATATAGAAAGCATGATATAAGGATAGCTATTATTATTCAGAATTTATGATTCTTCAGTTCTTTGTGTAAAGCAGTAAGATTGTAGTTCTAGATTCAGACTCCCTAGATGTGAATACTTTTCTGTCATTAGTTGTTTCATCTATAAAAGGAGGATATCAGAGTGTCTACTAAGGATTTGTGAGTTAACAGTGAATACATGTAAACTGCTTAGAACACCATCATACACATAGTAAGAAGAGTTTGAATCTTAGCTCTTATTCTAAGTGTTTGAGTGGATGACTCTAAAGAGATAGGTAATTGCCCTGAAATCCACTTGATTCAATGTTAAAATTTAAATATTGAACGTTTCAAAAATAAATAATAGATATTGTTACTTATTCAATTTCAATTAATTATAGATCTATTAGATTTTCAAGAAACAGACCATACCTACAATGGATAGAGAACTCTGGCTCAAAAAGCCCTTCCTCTGCAAATTTTACAGAAATCCACTCTCCTACTTTATAAGGTAGATTAATGTCCAGCTTCTCACTTGAGACATAATGAGTAAAGTCTAACACCGAACTTCTCTGATGGCCAAAGAAATAAATCTCCAAATGGAATTATTTTGTAATGGGAAGATATGATTAAAGCTAAAGAAGTTATAAACTAAGTTTAAACTTAAATTTACATAAGTGTGCAATCCAACTTTTAAATTTCATACCCCGTTGACCATAAAACCTACCTTTATTGAACGGCTAGAAAGAACTTGTACTAGAATAGAGTGAGCCATACATTTTGAAAGGAAGGAAGGAAGGAAGACAGTTCATGGCCTCTAGACACTTGCATATTTATGGTAATCAATCAAAATAGAGTTCCCACAAGTACAGACTATGTGAAGCAAAAAAGATAAATTGTTTTGGGAAATTCAAAAACAGAAAAAGCTAGGCTAATCTAAAAAGCTCCTTGAGGGAGTAAACAAGTGACTCAGTCCACTTTCACTACATGTGACTATTAGGACTCCAGAGAAACACCTGATAGTAGCTTTGTCCATCTTGATATTTGGTAATAAGACGAGTGGAAAAGAATTAGCCCTTTTCCTTATACTCCAGAACTGTGGACCATTTGACTTAATACTTTCCTCAAAGCCAATTTCACATCCTTGTTTCTCAAAGTGTAAATCAAAGGGTTAAGTGAAGGAGTGACAATATTATTTAACACCTGAATAACAGAATCTAGCCAGGGGCTTGAAGCAGGCCTGAGATAGATGAGCATCACAGGTCCATAGAACAAGAGGATTGAAATCAGGTGAGCACTGCAGGTTGAAAATGTCCGGCTCCTCCCTTCAAAGGAGCTGATTTTCAATATGGAAAGGAAGATGCGACCATAGGAAGTAGGATAAGGAAAAAGCATGTAAGAGTCACAATATCCACATTAGTAAAACTCACTGTCTGAGCTAGAGAGGTGTCTGTACAGGCCAGGGGTAGCACCACTGGGATATCACAGAAGAAACTATCTACCTCAATGGGGCCACAATAGGATAACTTAAAGACAAGAAATGTGAGGATACTTCCATGTAGACAGCCACCCAGCCATGTGCCCAATGTCAAGCCAGTACACACTCTGTGATTCATAATAACTGTGTATTGCAATGGGTGACAAATAGCCACAAAGCGGTCATAGGCCATCACAGTGTAGAGGAAACACTCAGTACCACCCAAGAAGTGGTAAAAGAAGATCTGGGATGCACAGCCCTGGTAAGAGATGGTCCGGCTTTGCCCCATCAGGTAGAGCATCATTTGGGGGGAACTCACTGAAGGGAAAAATATGTCAAACACTGCCAAGTTTCCCAGGAAGAAATACATGGGTGTGTGAAGGTTGGAGGAAACCAGAATGATGAGGAAGATGAGCAGGTTCCCCAGCAAGGTTAGGAGGTAGAAGGCTAAAAACAGGACAAATAGCATGTTCTCCAGCCCTTCAGAATTAGGAATTCCTAGCAGGATGAATTCCGTCACGGAACTGTAGTTCTGCATGTTCATACATCCAGCAGTCCTGGAAAATCAAGCAATAATCATGATATAAGATCACAAATAACCAAGAAAATATCTTCCTAATTCAGTTATTTCTATCTAAGACAGTGGCTGCAAGCAAAAGAAGGCCAAAAGAGGAAAAGGAGACCAATAATAAATCTGGCCCTACAGCTAAATAATGTGCCATGTTTGGCCTCAGTTATTTTGTGCGTTAAATTAGGTAGCAGAATAGTGTATCTTTATAGATGTCAAACTTCTTAAAGTCTTCAACACTTAATGTCAATTTTATGCAGCTTCTTCCAATTTGATTTAACATCACACAAACTGACATATTTCATTACTATCTTCTCCACGGAAAACTTGTCATCATGTGATAACTTCACTTTAACATCAGCCAATTCATAGTTAGTTGGTAAATAGTCCAATTACCCAAGTATATGCATATAAAAATGTGAATCTACACAGAAATTATATACACTTACCTATTTATATTTATTTTCAGCAATACTCTTTCAATTTTGTGGCATTTATACTTTTTAAAAGTGTACAATTCATATTTACAACCTCCTCACACACATATAGAAACTGGATTGAGACTAGAAGAAAGCATTGCATAGGTAATAGAAATAACTACTGAATTCTCCTAGAAATGCATCCTTCCTCAGCTAGATGTTATTTCCACACTGCAGACCTTGCAAACCTAAATTTCAATGACACTAATGTTATTTATCTTTGTTAATTTATGTCACTGATAGATAAACCAAAAAAACTCAGTTAGATTTTCTGAAGGCCCAATATCTCCTTCTATTCATTTATATCCCATTTTATGTTAGCCCTCCATATGTTGTCACTGGATGTAACTAATTTCCTCTACTTGTGATCAATATTTGTTCATGGCAAATAATCTGATAATTCTATTTATAGTAATTTATAAATTTCTGATTTGTTACCATTTCCTACATTATTTCTATTTTTGCAAGGATAAAGGCTTACACCATGGAGAAAAATCTCAGTAAGTAGAATTAGGGCAAGAAGGAAGCGGAGGAAACAAGAGCTCTTCAGACCATTCTTGTAATCAATCTGTATAGCCAAGCCCCTAGATAAAGCTTGTTCTGCTAAAATGTTTGAATATATTGTAATCCTGACAATGATATAGACAGGAAGAAAATAAAAGACTTCTTTCCAGCCCTAAATGCAATTTAAACATTGAGCTTGGGCCACGGCAATCACTTTAATCTCACAAACATTTGTTCTCTATCTACCTGCTGGAAATATAAAGATGAATCAAATAAAACACTATTCCTTAAAGAGTTTACTCTAGAGTTATATTAAAAAAACCAGTTTCTAATCCTGACCTTGATTCCACTATTTGCACCTCTGGGGTCATAAGCAACATACTTGACCTCTCTGAGCCTCATCTACTGTGAAAGAGTGATGGATAACAATGTTGTCAGCTTCATGGGGTCTTTGTGAGGATTGAATTTGTTTCAAAAATAAAATGGCTTGCTCAGTGCTTGATACTCAGTAGTAAATGGCAATATTATTTTAACAACTAACCTGGTGCATATAAGTCTCTGATAATGTGGGTGATAATTTAGTAACAACCAAAGCATTGCAGATGCAGTAAAGATATAAGAAATGGACTTGAAAAAGGATTTGTGAGATTTGAAAAAAGGGAAAGTAAATAAAGTCAACTGATCTTTGACAAAAGAGCAAAGGTAATATAACAGAGAAAAGATAGTTCTAACAAATGGCTCTGGAGTAACAGGGCATCTGCATCCAAACAAGTGAATCTAGACACAGGCCCTACACTCTTCAAAAGTTAACTCAAAATGGATCATAGACCTAAAGGTGAAATGCAAAACTGTAAAACTCTTAGAAGATGACATAGGAAAAAACCTAAATGACCTTGGGTATGATGAATTTTTGATACAACACCAAATAACGATTCATGAGACAAATATTTGATAAGCTGAACTTCATTAAACTTAAAAAAAATAAACTTCTGCTTTTTAAAAGCTTCTATCAAGAGAATGAGAATACAGGCCACAGAGTGAGAGAAAATATTTTAAAAGATACATATGATAAAGGACAATTATTTAAAATATACAAAGAATTCTTAAAATTCAATAATAAGAAAACAAACAACTCAGTTACAAATTGGGCCACAGACCTTAGCAGACACTTCACCAAAGAAGATACACAGATGGAAAATAATTATATGGAAGGTGTCATATGTCATATGTCGTAAAGGAACTGCAAATTTAAAAAATGACGTACCACTACAAAACTATTAGAATGGCCAAAATCCAGAATATTGGCAACACCAAATACTGGTGAGGGCGTTAATCAACAGGAACCATCGTTCTTTTCTGGTGGACATGCAAACTGGTACAGCCAATTTGGAAGACAGTTTGGTGATTTCTCACAAAACTAAATATACATTTACCATATGAACCAGCAGTCTTGGTCATTGATATTTACACAAAGGAGTTGAAAATTTATGTCCACACAAAACTGTGTGCATGGATGTTTAGAGAAGCTTTACTCATAATTGCTAAGACTTGGAAGCCACCAAGATGTCCTTCAGTAGGTGAAAGGGCAAATAAACTATGGTAATCCATACAAAAGAATATAATTCAGTGCTAAAAAGAAATGAGCTCTCAAGCCATGCAAAGACATGTATGAATCTTAAATACATATAACTAAGTGAGAGAAGTCGATCTGAAAAGGCTACATAGTATATGATTCCAACTATAGGATATTCTGGAGACAGTGGTTGCCAGGAGTTGAGGGCAGGGGAAGAATGAATAGGTGGAGCAGAGAGAATTTTTAGGGCAGTAAAAATACTGTGTATGACACTGTAATGGTGGACACATGTCATTATACATTTATCCAAACCCACGGAATGTACAACACTGAGAGTGGACCCTAAGGTAAACTACGGACTGTGGGTTATTATGATGTGTTGATGTGGATTTATTTGTAACAAATGTACTATCCTGAAGGAGGATGTTTGATAATGGAGAAGGCTATGTGTGTGTAGAGGAATTGGGTATATAGGAAAACTGTATTTCACTCAGTTTGTTGTGAACCTAAAAATGCCCCTAAAAAGTAAAGGCTCTTTTTAAAAAGGGCAGAGCAACACACAGAGGTTAGAAATACATACATTATTTTCATGACACCCACAACAGAGCATTATGTAAATATACTAGAAGAATTAAAAGATCTCTTTGTAGGCTGGAAGAGTATAAACTCTCCCTTTATCTTAAACTTTCAAAGTCAGCAACCAAATTCACTAAGATGTCAGGTCCAAACTTGCCTTAGGAAAAAGTGTACATTTCACAAATTACCTTCGATATAGTTTCAAAATCCTTCTCACTCTTCCTCTGTGGTCAGCACTCAATGCCTTATCTCCATCCAAACTTATTCTCAAGAAAGAATATGACATCAGTCCACGAAAAAAAAAGCTAAGACCAGATCTTGCATAATCATAACGTCATTTGGAAAATGACTGAATTTCCATCACAGAAGATTTTCAAGCAGAACCTATAGGCTCATCTCTTTGGGAAACGGAAGAAGGAATCATTCTCCTGCAAAGGAGAGTAAATTAGATCTTTTCTTCCAACTGTAAATTTAAAATTTTATGTTATCAGCTTTTTTGTAAATTCTGTGTTTTACCATCACCTCCTTCACTGATATTTGCAACTTAACCCTTAGTCTAACTACTGAATGGAAATATATGGGCCTGTCAAACGAAGTTCTCATATTGATAAGAAGAGTAGATTGATACTGACAAGAAGACTATTTGTTAAGAGTTGGGATAATTTTTAATTTTTATACTAACAGCAAAATAGAATACGTGAACAAAGAATCTATCCTCTTCAATATCACCCACTTTGCCCTATAAACCATTCTCCTGCCACACAAGCACACCTCTCTCTAAGACTTCCCCCCTTCATTTCTTCCTTGGTGCAGACTTACTGATGGAGCACCGAACTCAGCAACATATACAAATCTTCAGTTGCACAGTCCTCCTTCTTCAGGTGGTTTAGCATTGAAATGACTAGGAAAATCAGAGAGTAGAAATAGAACAGAGGGAGAGAAAAGGAAAGAGATAATATAAGCAGAACAAGAGTCAAATAGAAGCAGTAAAGTTTTAGACACACGCCAGTTAGTGGAACACACATTCTAACATGGGTAGAGAGGTTTTCCTAAAGTTTTCTAGGCAAGAAGAATGTGTTCCTAAAGCCCAAACCTCTACTTTGGAGTCAGAAGTCCTAGCACAGAGCCAGGGCTTTGCACCTTCTGCTCTTGAATCCAGAACACAGAGATGCGAAAATTCAGCCCAGCCACATAGACTTGTCCTGAAATTCTAGATTTATAATGTTTGCAAACTGGAGAGTTTCTTTTGAGACAATGTCCCCAGTGGCCCAATCCCTACACTTAAGGAGCATGAATGAGCAAAGGAAGTAATTAGAGGCCCTCCTTTCTTTCCTCACACCCCTTTCCCATTACGTATCTCATTATTTCATAATAAATGATATATTCATTGTACAAGTAGCATTGCAGCCTTATAAACTATTTGGCAAACATTCAAAAAAGCAAGAAAAAATGTCATAGTTCCTTTACCTTAACATTACCAATGTTAACATTTTACTCTTTCTAATCACTGTATCACATGGTTATGGTATATTTTTAACTAGTTACAATCATGCTAGATATGTAGTTTTGCATATTTTCCTTTTAATTTAAAATTTTTAATTTATGATTATATTTCCTAAAATACATATGTGTAGGTAGGTAGACAGATATACACATAAAATGCACTATGATGAAATTCTTAAATCAAGTATTCATATATGAAACTTTATTAGAGATAAGCATAGCTACGTAGAAATACTATAATAATCATGAATAATATTGTTTTTAAGATTGTTATCAAATTATGTACTTTGCTAGCAGCAGTGCTTATGAAGGCTGATTTTGTCAGCATAATGTATTAGCAT